TTGGATTAGTTGAAAAATTTCTTAAAAATAATCATGTATGTATTTAAATATTAATTAAATGAGAGTATCAGAATATTACATTTGAGTCAATGTACTTTTTTCGTAATGGATGAATCTGATAATTGTATTATACCGTATTTTTTGTATTAGAGCCCCACGCTGTATTAGAGCCCCACGCTGTAATAAAGCCCCACTTTGGAGGATAGTTGAAAAATAGAGCCCCACGCTGTATTAGAGCCCCACGCTGTAATAAAGCCCCACTTTATGAAATTTTCACATACCTAAGTTAATAAATTTATTTTTAATACTGTACAGCCTTTTCTATCATTTCCAGTCAAATCAAAGCAGTTCATTCCAGTTAGGTTCTGTCACTGGAGGCATAGATTGATTAGAGTTCAGCGGGATCGGGATCTTGGTCGGGATCGGGCGGGAGTAAGCCGGGTTTTTCAAATCCTGATCCCGATCACGGCCAATCCCGAGGCCGAGATCGGGATTGTTATGTGCATCAGATCCAGATGCAAATCCCGATTTTATAAATTGACTCGTCTGTGAAATAAAGTAGAGTAAGTCGAGTTTGAGCATTTTCGAGTTACTCTATCTGCCCAAAAAACTATAATCTGCCCAAATCCCGCTTAATACCTTGATATCCTTCTCACTCCTCTTATCACTCGATATCCCTTTAATCTGCACGAATCAACGAAATAATATTATCCATTGATTTTCCACCCGGAGCCCGGAGTCAACATGGAAATACCTTCTTAATCACATCTATATCCTTTCATGGGACTGAACCGGAATATATTCACGAGAGATTGAAACGTACGGACTGAAGAAAAATAGAATCGAACCTTCAAAGGCTCGATAGGATTCGAACCTTCCACAAATTAAAATTCCAATTCGGCCTTAAATCTAACTCAGATGCACTTAACCGCGCCTTAGTGTACACGCGTGACTATCATATTTGGAAATATCTCAATGTTGAAATTTGCTTTTGTGATTAAACTTTAATTGATTGGATAAATATAGTTAACCGTATAATTGAAAATCCTATTACTTATTTTCAAGAATAGGTTGAAAAATAGAGCCCCACGCTCTATTAGAGCCCCACGCTGTAATATAGCCCCACTTTGGAGGATAGTTGAAAAATAGAGCCCCATGGGGCTCTAATACAAAAAATACGGTAATCTGATAAGCGTAAAATTCCGGTTCCAAAAATTTTTTTTTAAATTTCAATGAAAAATTTACTAATTCTCATAAATAATCAACTGTATAATAATCAACTGTACTTATTGGATAAGTAGAACGACTCTTATCTTTTCATATGTCCCACTGTCTTTATTACAAAGTGTCGTTATCATTTTTATTTTATTATACACTATGTCAGAAAACGATCGCCTAAGTGAGTTGGGTAGAAGTTATGAAAGTGGGTGTAAGGAGTCGTCAGCCCTTTCGAGTAAAGGTTGCGGACTTCCGACGGCAAGTTATCATTTCTATAGATGGTATGCCGTCCCCACGAGCTTAGACCTTTTCGAGCTTTTCACCTGTCCTACATGGGATTTTCATATCAAAGCCTTGTTTCATCTCACAGTGAGCTCTCAAACATACAAGGAGTCAGTTATCCTCCAACCATGATTTACTCACCATAATGAGTTGGGTGAATCATCCTTACATTATTATAATTATATGATCATTTGAAAAGAATAAATAGAACAAGATGCAATAATCTAACAAAGCAGATACTCCTTTAAAGTATTGGCTTTTAAGGATAGCAGAATTGTTTGCTTCCTGAATTCTTTTTACGGGATCAACCTTAATAGATCTTTTTTACAATCCACTATAGAGGGTAACGACAGAAAATACTGCTTTCTTGTTATAATACTGAAGTTATTTTGTCAGGCCTCAATATTTTTTACAAAATTATATGTTCTTTTATATAGGTTAAACTGACAATAACCAGAAAATTACCGCCAAATCTCCGTCAAAAGTTTATTTGGGTTACAGAAACTTTGAAATATAATAAGGAAGAAATTGATCAAATCATGATAAACAATCCTAAAATTGTTGTTTTTTCAAACAAAAAACACACTTGTGATCAAGTAAATTTTTTAAATATATTAACTCCGACGCATGGGAGATAGTACGGAAGCTGTACCAACCAGATATAAAAGCTAGGCTTTGGAAAACAGAACATACCGTATCTGCTAAAATAATTACCCAGGGTAAATAATGTTTCATCCTCTCGCTGGCGGGGGTAAATAAAAGAAAGAGGGTAATTATTTGAGCAATTTTTAAGAAGGCTAATAATAATTATTTTTAGGAGGCGTAATTATTTTTTCGATCTCTCGATGGAGGAGTAATTAATAGGGAGGGGGTAATTATTTGAGAGAGGGACATTATTTCAGCATTTACGGTAAATTCAAATCCTATACTTATACTCATAAAAGTAGAATTCCTTCATGGTCCAAATATACTAATATTGAATTACGATAAAATTTTAGCTCAAAGATCAATTGATAAAAGATGGTTATCAATGTTTGGCATTTCATGGTGATGTTGGTGGTCTAAAGGACAGAGAGAGAAATCTGAAGATATTTAAGGACGGAGGAATACGACTTTTAATTGCATCTGACGCCTTAGCGAGAGGGATAGATATTGGGGATATTACACATGTTATTAACTATGATGCTCCTGCAGGTTGGTATTTCATTTGTTTGCAGGTCAACTTTCTGCAATTCGTTTTTATTAAATTTTAACACGCTTATAAATCGGTTTAGGCATATTGCGGTAATACTCTCATTGGATACGACATTTTTTTATGGTTAACTATAGGAAAGAAAGCAAAAACGGTCAGGTCATCTCTACATATATAAGATAGACCGTAAAAAAGCCCCTAATACAGAATACATTGTCTCTGATTATCGAACCATAGTTGATAAGAATCTCTAGTATAGGATATAGATCTCTAGTATAATATAAGATATAGATAAGACTCTCTAGTATTGAATAAAAGAAAAAGTATTAATCAAGTTAACGACTCACAGCATCGCTGTAGACAGTGTGTCTGATTCCCAGGGCTGAAGACTTAATCCTGTAGATTTGGATTTATGATGAATCTTATTATGTGCTGGAGAAATTATGTGCTCCAATTGGATCTTTTTAGGGAGAGGGGATATTTTAAAAACTTCTTGTATCTTTAAATACTCATTTTAGCATATCAAAATTATGTTCACCGTATTGGACGTACTGCGCGAATGGGTCGAAAAGGTTGTTTGATATTATTTAGAGATATAGGGTTTTGAAAAACTGGATCTTTATCCGATTTTGACAGGCGACCTTAATCATGAAAAATCAGGCCTTGATTTTATTTTGTAATTGGAGATAATACTATAACGAGTCAGGTTTATATTCGGCTACTCATTCACATATTTTCCTCTTACAATATCCACTTTACTTTTCAAATCTCCTAATATCACCATTAATCTGTTCAAATCACATATCATTTTTATTCACAACACTCTTAATCCCATAATTCAAAGCTAAAAAGCTTGATCTGTACTCGACTCTCGATTTCATTTGACAACCTTGACAATTTATAACACTGAGTCAAGAAAAAATTAGTATCCTGAAAAATTCATGAAACTCAGAAACTGCCTTGATCTTACCTAAGAATCCAAAAAAAATCAAAATTAGGATTCAGATTCAGGCCAATAGCAAACATTAAATTCGTTAATCTATATTTAATAAATAAAGGAACATCGATAACCTTCGTTAATGAACAAACTAAAATTATTATGGATCTGTATAACTCAATCGAGAATATGCCACCAAGGATGATTGTCATGCCAGCTGAGATGATTAACCATGTAAATGAGTTGAAACATAAAGAGGAATCGCATTATAGTCAACAAATGTGTGGAAGTCAATTAGATCCATATAGTAGCTATCTTGGTGAATCGCGACATTTTCTTCTTGGGGATCCAAACATGTTTACGCATGAAATAGAAAATTATAGTGAACCTAATGAAGAGAGAATCCATGACGATGAATATTATAACGAATAATTTGCTTTTTTAGGGGGTAGTTTTTAACGGGATATCTAAATATTTTTCTAAAAAGAGGGGCATGTATTATATTCAACAACCTTAGGGATATTAGAAATTTCATAAAGCAGACTGGTACTTTATTAATATCCCCCACCTTTATTTGAGTCTTAGATTAATTTTCCTTTTTTACTGACAATTATTCTTTCTCTCACAAATTTAAATTAAAAGTCAAGTAGAAAGCCTTTTTTTAATTTTTCCCCTTTTGACTTGCCTTTTAATTTACCTAAATTTGTGAGAGAAAGAATAATTGTCAGTAAAAAAGGAAATTAATTTGAGACTCAAATGGGGGGGGGGGGGTATTAATGAAGTACCAGCAGACTGTAATCTTTTTGGGTGAGAACAAAAAACGGACCATAATTTGAAATTATATCATTTTTCAGTCTATTTTATTGTTAAATCCTTTTTCGTTAGGCTGCCGCTAATTGCTTCCTCATCTATAATTTTTTTTTAATTTCTTCAATTTTCTTTTGAAGTTCCCTTAAATTCACTGGTTTTTAATTTAAAACTTTAAAGAATCAAGCGGCAGCTATTCATTATTCAAATTTGCTTCTATTTTCAATTAGTTTTATCACCAAGCGGATAAACTTTCTTCTTTTATCACCAAGCGGAACCGAGCTGTTATCGGCCGCTTCACTTTTTATTAGATAAACTTTCTTCTTTTTTGTATTAAACATAATTGGCAACTTAATGTCTTTGGTTTTGCAGCATCCGCATATTTATATCAGTGATTAACCCACACTAAAAGTGTTCCGGTGGATGTTAAAAAACCCCCTAAAACGAGGCAAAAGGACCACATTGCTGCCTTATATAAAAAGGTTTTAATAAAAAAGGTTACTTTCATAAAAAGGTAGAGAATTGACTTAAATAACTATATATCAATAAATAAATTTAAAAAATTTATTTCAATTTGCTCCTAGCCAAATCTACAATTATATCTATTTTGAAATGAACAGTAAGTATGGAATTATAAGCCCAATGGTATTCATTATCAAAAGTCACTGCAGCCTGTAAAGTTTTTAAAAATTCATCAAGAGCAATTTCTACTTCAACTAAATCTACTTCGTCGTTGGATTTTTCTGCTTTATTTATTGCATCCTTTAATTTAAATGCTGCTTCATACAAAGTTGAATTCATTTTATCATAAGCCAAATCAATGTCATCAAAATATTTAATTGCCGTCTGTTGGGTTTCACCAACAAATTCAATAGTTGCATCATCATTTTTTCTCATATCAATTTCCTTTTCAATCTTATCTAGTTTCTCCCAACTTTTATCATTATTTCGGCGAATCTTAGTAGCATTAGCAATGGGAAACTTAGGATCATCTTTGATTTCATCAATAAATTTTGCTTTACAGCCAACTATTTCATTTTTGGATTTCGATTTGTGCTCGGGAGCGGGGATTCGAGACCAACATTCGATAACTTGCCTAAAATGAATTTTTTAAATTTAATCTGGATATAGTATAGTATATTGGTGGAAAGGTTTCGTTATAAGACCATTACCATTCGATTTGTCTCGACGAGCTAATCGGACGGGCTACCTTTTTTTCTGGAGATGTCTGGTGACCGTGCTATAGGTCCATAAAAATCGCTGGGTTCTGGGCTCGTAACATGATCCTATTCCTATCATCGATGAGGTGGACATGTCCGGCTTTCTCCGCATCAACAAAAACTCCACGGATGATATATGTAAGAAGCTAATACAAACGATCATAACCTTGTCCAATCTTGTCCTCTCTCAGTGATTTTGGTGTCATTCGACTCAAGTTGAGGAGCTCTTTCGAAGAGCTATCATTCGAAAAATCTAATTTTTCACCCCTATGATTTTCCGATTTTCAGGGACCTATAGCACGGTCACCAGGCATCTCCGGAAAAAGGTGGTACCGTTCGATTAGCTTGTCGAGATAAATCGCATGGTATGGGTCTTATAACGAAACCTTTCCACCGGTATACTATACTATAGCCTTTATTCTTATGATTTTTTGACAATTGTAAAGTTGACAGAACAAAAAATTCCACAGCTTTTTACAATTGCCTCTCCTTTGCACTTACTTATCATACAAGCACTGTTCATGTTGGCAATGCCTATTTTCAAATAGCAAACATTCATTACACTTCCAATCGTAGTTGGATACATTAATTGAAATATAATACATGTTTGTGGAGAAAGTACAATTATTGTCGATAATATCGTTAACTTTTGAAATGCATTTATGGTAGTTTTCACAACACCTGGATTAGATTGTTTTGTAAAATTTGAATTAAAATTTTTTTAATGAATTTAAACATTATTAAATAGGTCCAATATCTGAGTACCCCTAATTAGTTAAGGAGTCACCCCAAACACAATACTCGGACTTTTTGTAACTCTAAATAATGCTTTAGGAATTTCGGATTATAAGCTCCTTCTGCAAACTACTAAATTTATTAGTAGAGAGGGCTTTTTTAAGTCCAAAAAACGATAATAGGTACCTAAATAAGATCGAAATAAAAGCTAAAATAGGTTCAAAAAGGTTAGAAATAGGTTGCAAATAGGTTTTAGGTTCGAATAGGTCCAATATAGACTCAAAACAGAGTTTTTGTGCTTATCTCATTGTAAAAATCACTATTTAAAAAAATCGTTGTTTATTCAAAGAAATAACATACGCATTAACTTCTCGCATAGATAAGTCAGCGCAACTAAAAATATTAAAATTATTAGTGAATATATTTACATATAAGGATATTAGGCTAAATTCAAATGAATTTTCATTCATTTCTGGTACACCCATCCATGAGATATTAATGTTTCTTAAACTTACTTGCAGGCATATCGCTCGATTAATTTTGCATTGTTAAACAATTTGCACTGATCCTGCAATAAAAATATTTTTAGATACAATATAGCTCGTTTGGAGTATTAATTTCGGACTAGGTGTTTTATAGCTTAGTAGAGGAAGTTAGAACATAGTAGCTGAATTCCCTAACTAATTTATCATAAAACCTACAATCGGAGCGAAAGCAGTACTTGAGCGAGGTTTATGCGTTGTAATAACGGTTGTCGCTTCTGTTTTCTTAGTTATCGGCGTTATCTTATTTATTTTCGTAGTTATCCCGACTTTAGGTTTTAAATTCATGGCCGTACTCGGTTTTATAATCATTGGCGTTGTCGTGACTTTTTTCTGAAACATAAAATGAAATGTGATAGAATAAATAGTGTCAGTTTAGTTTGATCATATATCTAATCACTTCTAATCACTTTTGCCTACATTGTAACTTCCTACATTAGATAAAATGCCGGGCATAAATTCCGAACATAACATTTTTAACTCTTCTGCACAAAGGTTGTGACATTTAGATAAAAAAGACGGATAAGTTTCGGATCGTGCTTTGAAAATGTCTTGGATTGATTTATAATCCGGCCCACTCTTCTCTCCACGTTAATGTTCATTTGATTACCGTATTTGCTCTATTAATCCCCCAGTCTTTAATAATCCCCCAGGCTCTATTAATCCCCCACCCTGGGGGTGGGTTGAAACAATAATCCCCCAGTCTCTATTAATTCCCCAGTCTCTATTAACCCCCCACCCTAGAGATGGGTTGAAACATTAATCCCCCTGGGGGATTAATAGAGCAAATACGGTATACAAAAAATAAATTCTCTCTACCTTTCCTTGGCGACATTTGATTGGATAATCCCGACGGTACAACATTCCAAATGCAATATCTCGATTCATTTCAGGAACCTCAATACCCAAATCAATATTTAATGCCAAAACACTCAAATAATCTTCTAACCAAGCCCCATCAACTCTTTCTTTAAAATATTCCTTGTCTACACTGCTCTGTTCTCTTATTTTTGCTTAAAATTATAAATTAAAAACGAAATTCTTAATAAAAGTACGTATAAGATTTTTGTCCGATAATGCATGAAGAAAATCAAGTGCAGTCGTTCCATTAATATGGAGAGTACCGTATTTCCTATATTAGAGCCCCATGGGGCTCTATTTTTCAACTATTCTCCAAGGTGGGGCTGTATTAAAGGGTGGGGCTCTAATTGAGGGTGGGGCTCTATTTTTCAACCCTCTTTTGAGATAAAATCCCATTTATTAAATATCCATTGCAACTAGAGATAGGCTGGAGGGGTGGTCGATAAAACCGAAAAATATCGAAAGAGAATCGAAATTTTCGATTTTTCACAAAAATTAAAACTTTTTAAGCAATGAATAACAAAATAGTCGCAATAGTTCAATTAGAGTAAGATTACTAAGTATGAAATTTTGGTAGATTTGGACGGATTAAAAGAAATATTAGGGGACTAGTATTTGACATCGATGGATCAGAGGTATAAAAGTTGATTTTAAGGGATTATGGGGAATATAATAGGATTAAGTTTATATTGAGAGATTTAGCGGGATTAATTTGTAAGAGGGGTATTCTGAATTAGGGGTATTAGGGGTATTACCTCCTCCTCCATGATCACAATATCATCAATATCCCCCTTTACTTCCTTAACTCTCGAAATACATCTAAAAAGTTATTCGGATATTTTTTTCCTCCAATATTTTTAAGTGGGGCTGTATTTGGGGTGGGGCTCTAATTGAGGGTGGGGCTCTATTTTTCAACTATCCTCCAAAGTGGGGCTGTATTAGAGGGTGGGGCTCTAACAGAGGGTGGGGCTCTAATATAGGAAATACGGTATTTCTATAAAAAAATTTTTTAAATTAATTTTTTATCATTTACATACAGTCTAAACTAGAGCGCGGAATTTCGTTCCGTACCGTATTCCGTACCGTACTACCGATACGGAATACCGATAAATACCGAAAAATACGGCCGTAGTACGGTACGGTCCGCGCTCTATTCTAAACTCCTTTATAACCCCCTTGATCTGAAAATTCATCCTTTTCAAACTTGTATTAAAATTTGCATAAGGTATGCTTTTTAGTTTTAACTAGGGTTTGACCCCGAACGCTCGGGGGCGGGTATGTCGGGGTACGGGGTTTTCGAATTGTTTCGGGGCGGGGTTCGGGTCGGGGGAGCAAAATATGGTCGGGGTTCGGGTCGGGGTACGGGGTTTTAGGAAAAAATTTTTTAAAGAAAAAATGCTCTAAAAATGAGCCATTTTGGGTCTATTTTCGTTAATATATTCACAAATTAATGAGAATAAGGTGGGATTAAATGGAAATAAGAGAAATTGGAGTGATTAATTGGATCTGGAGGTGATTAAGGAGGATTTGGAGGGATTAAAGCGGATATCTGGGGAGATAAGAGGATTTGTAGGGACTAAGGGTAGTTTCAAGGGATATCATTGATTTAAGAGTTATCGAGTGATTAGGAATTTAGTATATCAGGATAACTCTTTCTTTTCTGCGCCGCAGGCAAAATTTTGAGAAACTTGGAAGGCCAAGAAGCCAAATTTCTTACATTTCCATAGCCACAGGCGAAAATTTTTAAAATTTTTTAGGTTAAAAAGCCGGATGTCTTCGTTTATTTTAGCGCTGACCAAGAAAATTTTTGAAATTTTAGCTAAACAAAAAATCTTTACATTGTTTTTTATGGTTGATAATATTTAAAAATAAGATTTACATTTTAAATTAAAATTAAGTTCTTGATTTTGTAAAGAAAAATCCCAAAACAATCGACCCCAGCTTATTTGGATCCGAACCGAATCCTATATTAATGGAAATGTAGGCTAAAACCACCAACTAAGCCACTCAACCACAAGTCTCCTAACAGAGCAGAAAAAAGAATTTTGATATTTCTTTCATTTTTCTTTCAAAAATAATAAAAGCAGGAGGAAATTTTAAAAAATTTTCTCTTAAAATTCTCCCAAAAATGGCATTTTTTGGGTATATAAAACCCCGATAACCCCGAAACTTTTCGGGTCGGGGTACGGGGTTTTCACTTTTTTTCGGGGCGGGGTTCGGGTCGGGGAGAATCGTGAAAAAATCGTTCGGGAACGGGTTCGGGGTACGGGGTCGGGGTCAAACCCTAGTTTTAACACATGTCCAATTTCCGAAAAATACAATGAAAAATAGAAGCAAGTCAATAAATACGGATTTACTTTATTTTAGTTTCGGATAAATCATTATTGGAAACAATGCTAAAGATTAAATCCATAGAACTATCTCAGCTAACATACGAAAATATCGGTAGCTTTAGCTACAGATACCATTCCATAGCAACAATGTAAATAATATAGTCTAGTTAAGGTAGCAGTTAAAAATCTTAAAATGATCTTACATACAAGCCTCATTGGATAGTGAAGCAGAATAAAATCTCATCTTAATTTAAGGCATACCTAATTTATGGTATCAAAAAGACTGTATTTTTCTTATACCTTTTCCCAAAAATATCCAAATTCACTTCAAGAATATTTTCTTTTTCATCATAAAACACTCGAAATCCACTCCATTCAGTTTCAACTCCATCCGGTCCTTTGCACTGTTTCCCTTCAATACATTTGCTGCAAATCTTTGTTGAGTTTGTTTCATTGAAAGTAAAACGATTGTTCAACTTTGTATTTTCCGAGAAATGTGCGTTTGAGAGGAGGGAGGGATAACAGATGATGAGGCTATTTTAAATTATAATTTATTATTTTAAGACATAAATTTAATTTTTTGTCTCCATGTCGGCCGAATCTATTTGGAGAACCTGATGAGGGATTTTTCTAAAAACAGCGAAGACGAATTTCGGATAGGCCCGCAACTTTGCTTAATAACCCCGGCATTAAAAGAATTGCGGGGCGAGAGCTTGGGGTACATCAAAATAATATGCTGGATCCTGTCCCGAGTCGGTCATTAAATGTGTTCAATCTAATTAAGGCAACCTTCTGAAATTTCAGTTTTACTACTTTATTCTAGTTCTGAATTCAAACTGTCTCCGACTGTTTCAGCACAATTGTATAATTAATAATATTCCAAATGACCCGTCTGATCAATTTTAATGCATCCAAAATTCCCAAACTTACCCATTACATTTATTTACTTTCTTCAACAAATTCAAAATTTCGGGGCACGGGAATGTTTTGGTAGAGCATGTTTTGTTACTAAACACGGTTTTCCATTTGGACTTTCTTTGCGCAAGATTAACCGCGCCGGACAACAAAACCTCACTCAAAAATATAAATAAAAATAAAATAAAAAGCAAATTCATCACAAAAACAAACTGAAAATAAATTAAAAATTTAAAAAAAAAATTGGAATTTTTAAATAAAAATATACTTTGGATTAGAGCCCGGACGGAGGGCTCGGTCGATATTTTTTCGATAAATATCGAAAAATACCGAATATCGAAAAATATCGAAAAAACCAAAATTTTCTCGGTCGATATTTTTTCGATAAATATCGAAAAATATCGAAACCGAAAAATATCGAAAAAAAAGTCTCGATATTTTTCGATTTTTCAAAAAAAAAAAATTAAAAAATTTTATAATAAATCCATAACAAAATTTTTATAAGCAAAATATTTAATCAATATTTATAATTAATAATTGGAAGATTCCTGTTGAGGAATATTAGCATCTCAGCCTTTCGGGGATTAAGACTTCTCCGACGATATGTATGTATAAGTATCACGGGCAGTAGAAAATAACTGTTCGGACGCAATGCTACTCGCAGGAATACAAAGAAATTTTTGTGCTTCTTTAGATAAAACTAAATTAAAAATTATTAAAAGGAAAATTTTTTATACTAACGTGGAAAATCTTTAGCCCTTAACCTCCAAAAATCTAAAGGATCTTCATTTGATTGAATCAAATTTAAAGTGCAATAATCTGTAACTTCCTTTTCAATATCTGGTCGTCCTAGTTAGTTATCTGGTCGTCCTAGTCTAGTTAATTCTTCCAAAGGTTCTAATAATTTAGTAAGCTCATGTAGTAAGATGCTTTCATTGGCATCATTGGCATAAGATGCTTTCATTGGCATCATAAAAGAAGTATAAATTTAAATTTTATACCACTTCCTGTAATAATATGTTTTTCAATTGATCCCTTCTCACCTTCTTTTTGTTTAGTCAATGATTCAAATTTCGTTTGAAAATCGCTGTTTTTGTGTTTGAATTTGAGATGACTTATTAAATTTGTCGTGCTGCTTTGTTGACATTTAATTATCTTATTGCACTCAAGACATTCAGCCTCATCTTTATTGACTTTTTTGTAAAGGCCTATTTGCCAAATTATACTTTCCGA